TCTTTTTTATTTTTTTTAACTCAGACCACCCATCCTGTTTGGTTGCTGTTACAATCAAAGTATTTGCATTATTTATTACTCCAGCTACAGAGTCAAAATAAAAATAAATAAATAAATCAAATAAAAAAACTCCTACAGAGGTAGAGATAATTGGCCAACAACCGCAGGACAGCCAGTTATGACACATTATTTGGCTCGGTGATGGGAACAAATGCAGACTGTCTAGGTAATTAAAAGACTCCCATCCTAACAAGGATATACCAGGCACATGGGAGAGAGGAACCAGAAAGGGGAAGAGGGATGCAGAATGCAGACCTATTGTGTTTCCTTATAGATGGATTTGAAAAGTGAGGAACTTGCTTTGTGATCCAACCTAATGCCATGCTTTAAGCTCTAATTACAATTGCTTAAAGTCAGTACTGTCCATATTTATCCCAGAATACTAAATTATAATATAAAAGTTGTGCTTAAAAAAACAAAACAAACAAACAAAAACATTTGTGTAATGAAAAAGTCTTGGTCACGACTGGCCATCTGTATTTAGCAATACTTGTGGCTATGTAGCAATACCACCAATGGTGTAGACACAATTTCAGATGCTGTAACTGTGTGATAATTCATACTTTTTGCAGTGTGGTTCTAATCTTAACATACCTGTTATGCAATACAATTTTATAGCTGAATGGAAACCAATAGTAAAAAAAAAAATAAAAAAAATAAAATGCAAATGCTTTACTCTTTTAAAGTCTAAATGGGAATATAATTTCTAAATTTTAAACTTGATAATTACTTAAAAATAACTGAGGGCAATTGTACTACATTATAGAGTAGCAGATATTGTATGCTATCTCTAGCCAGTAAACACAGATAAATGCTTCGTTTGTCTTCTCACTTTGCTATGATGCCCTGTCTTTTAGTGGAATTATGGACTATCTTTGCATGTATACATGGACATATCATAATTATATTGTTACATTTTTTTACTTAAATCATGAACAGATATCTATTTATTTCTAGCTCACCCAACCCTTCTACATGGGTGGTTTCAAATACTACAAACTCCACACCTCTAACAGAGGACTGGGAGCTGGAGGGTTCTGTGCACAGAGATTTCTGAGGTTGTTCTTGGGATTTATTGGAACCACTTTTCTAATTTGGGGATCACATCACCGAGTGTTCTGATTACCACAAGGACTATTGAAACATTGACTCTCCACAACTTTTGTTTCCTATTTCAGCCCTTGGTATTTTTTTCAAGCTTCTCATGCTCCTTCTTCCTGATGTTACAGTTGCTTGGACTTGCTAACCACTGCCTTTTTCTGTAACTTGTTGACAAGAAGATTTTTGACCACCACAATGTCCATCAACTGTTTGTCAGTTTAGACCTAAAAATCCCACAATATCTTAACCCTGCCATTATCCACCATCTTTGGTAGCATCTCCCATTTTGACTGGGGGACCTCCAGTCCTAATTCAGAGCAGATGTGCTTTATACTTCTCTAGCCACATGTACTGTATGCCCCATTCCATGTATGCTTTGCCTGCTTGGATCCTACATACTGCTATAACTGTATGTGTTGGACTGTCTCAATGATGTCTTTGCACAGCCTACATCTTGGGTCTTGTCTGATATGAAAGACTCCATCTTCTATTGCTCTTGTGCTGAGGGCTTGTTCTTGAGTTGTCATGATACATGCCTCTGTGCCATCCTTCATTCCAGCCCTCTCTAGCCATTGGTATGAGCTGTTGGTGTCAGCCACTTCCGCAATCTGCTGGTGGTACATGGTGTGCAGGGGCTTATCTTTTCATGATGGCTTCTTGTGTTTCTCATCTTCCTCAGTGGGTTTCTTCAGCTCCCTGAAACACCCAATCATCAGTTCATCATTGGGGGGCTTTCCTCTCGATGTACTCTAAGATCTTAGCTGTTTTATCCTGGACACATCAGTCCTCTGCCTCTGTTCCTTCTCTTAGTGTACAGTCTCAATGTGCTGGACTTGGTGTGAAACCCTCCATGCATTATGAGGAGCATTTGAGTCTTGTTGTCAGAGACTTATATCTTCTCTTTTGGCCAGACTATTATACCATTTGGATATCTGATGGCTGGCACTGCATTCATGTTGATGGCTCAGACATTGTTCTTGACATTTAGCTGGCTCTTGAGAACCTGACTTACTCTCTGTAAATACTTGCTTGTGGCTGACATTCTTGCAGACTCATTATTATTGTCATTTGCCTGCATGATCCCAATGTACTGTATTTGTAGCTTACCTGGACAACTGCAATGTTGCCTTAAGATTGTATTTCAATTCATTAACTTGTGATCTCCTTGCCTCTCTTGCATACTGTTCAATTGCATTTTTCTATTCAGACATCCCTAGTCATGAGTCCACAAGAGTCCTAGTGGCACTGAGACATAGGCTTCCCTGTAGTCAGTCCAGACAGTGCACAGGTTTGTGTGTCTGGTCTTACAGTCTTGAGCTACATGTTCATCAACTAGTAGCTTGTGCTTGGCTTCTCTGGTGTAGGTTCCAATTCCTTTTTGTGCCTCGCTCAGATATTGACCCATGTTCCAATTCATCTTAGCTGCTATGATGCCTGATATCATCCACATGTTATGGAGGCAGGCAATTGGTTGGTAGCTGGATGGAATTTATGTTCATAGAGAGTTGTCTCTTTGATTCTCCAGTACTGGTCAGTCTCAGTTCTAGGTGGAATTACTCTGATGTCGTACTCCTGCTATTGAAAGGACACTCTGGATAGTGTGGTAAAGAATACTTGTTTTTTCTCCTGTCTTCTACTTCTTGAGTGCACCTCTTCAGACTAGTGGCCAGAACTTGGAGGCATTGTTTGACAGTCTCTGGATTTTCAGGTATGGACATGTTGCAGTATTTTTGTGGTGGATCTTTCTTTGTTTCACCTTTCTATTGTTCTGACAGCTGACTGATTTCTCTCAATCTTATCTTGATCTTCCCTTCCAGCCTCCTTCTTCATGGCATATTATGCTCTTTATTCATTGTAGGCTTGATGTTATAGCCAAGCAAATCGGGGTTTGTTACTGTGCTGCATACCAGCATATTGGTCTCTGTGATGGTGCTGGGAAGATTATTTAACAACAGTTCAACAATGCTCTGTTCAACAATTTCCTGTAGTATCAGTAAAGTTCTACCTTATCTTATCGTGTCTTATCTTATTGTATTTAGCAATGCTGCATTCAAAGATTTTTTGTAGACTTTCAGACAGTACTTTTTCACTTAACCTTGGCAAGTGGTACTGTTCATTGATGTGTAGCTTGGTCACAATGTTCTCAGCTGCCCTTGTATTCAGTCCCCCTGGCCTTTTCCATATGGCTTGGTACCAAGATTCTAATGGTGGGGATAATGGTTGACCCCCTCCCCCCATTAGCTCATGTATCAAATACATCATGTATTCAATTCAATTCAATTCAATTCAAAAATACTTTATTAATCCCAGAGGGAAATTATTTGTTGTTGTAACTCGTTACCCTCATTTCATTAAGAGATGTTATAGATGCTGATGGCTGTAGGCAGGAAGGATCTCTTGTAAAGGTCCATCCCACAGTGGATCCTAAGAAACTGGCTGCAGATGCCGTCCAATCCATCCACCCAGACTCGGCTGGCCTCTCGGTTCTACCGGGTTGTAGGACCGCCCGAATGCCGGGCAGAACTCCTCCCAGAGCGATGGCCACTCCTCCCAGCAGTCTGCCGAACTCCTCATTGCTGAGGACAGCCAACTGTAGGTGCCGAGGGACGATCCTGTCCTTCCGCTGTCATGAGCCGTGTGTCCTGCTAGTTCCAGGATCTCAGTAGTCAGGCACTCGAGCACAGCTGGCAGGTAGATGAGAATGCATCCACAGAACATCCTTTTCAACTCATTTGAGATTTGGGGTTGTAGCTGAGATATTATTTGAACTTTTGAGATGTTATTCAGCTGCTGTTGGTTGTAGAAAACTGCCTTATTGCCATGGTTACGCATCATAACAAATGTCCAAAACTAAAAAAGTTTCAGTAAAAATCCTTCCAGCTGCACAGCATCTGATACCAGAGGAAACAATCATCCAAAAAATGTGATTTATATCTAGAAAAAGAGGATTTAAAGTTTCCAAAAGCAAAATCTCAGAATAAAAGTAACAGAGCTGCTTCAACATGCAGCCACTTTGAGCGGCACAATTCTAGAACAAGGAATGGAATTCTAGAATTCCATCCCATATATCATCTCATATTACCTCCCATTATTTTGAGATTTTTTTCTCAAATGTTGGTACACTGGGTTCAAAGTTGTAATTGGGTCAATCTGGATGATGGGTATTTAATTTTCCCTATTGCCTTTGTGCTTGCTCAGGATGGAAGACTGTGATGATGTGAAGATTGAGCACAATCTGTTGGCTTCTTTAGATATATAACTTTTACCATTTGGCATTTTTATGTAAGTGCATGTACAGATAACTTTGGCTTTGATTTGGCACTATATAAATAAGCTGAATTGAAGTGAATTGACTTGTGACCTGTCCAGGGTGTACCCCACCTCCCGCACAGTGATGGCTGGACATGGGCACCAGTGACCCCCACAACCCAAAAAGGAAGAAGTGGGTAAAAATAATGGGTGGATGAATGGATAAATTAAATCAGTCCCTTAGAGGCCCTTTGTTAAGTTCTCTGCCTTTGTCCATGAATGTCTTGTGTGTGCGTGTGTGTGTGCGTGTGTGTGTGTGTGTGTAGGGGAGGTATGTGTGTAAGTAGAGACTCTGGGTAATCATTTGCAAAATGTTTTTATGCTTTGCGTTGTTTGCAAAATGTCCTTCTTTTTTAAAAAATTTCTCTCTTGACACACATCCACTTCTCTTTCATTGTTTATATTCTGTAAATGTGGCAAACACAAATGATAATAATGACGAAAATAATGGAATTAAAGAAAGACTCGAGAAAAAAAACAACAACAAAAAAACAAAACTAAATCCTTTGTCTTCTGCTTGACTTTTCCAGATGTTGATCTGCTTGTTTGCAAGCACCAAGGTCCATCTTGCTGCACCCGGAAGATGGAGGAGAATTATCAAGTCGCTGTAAAACGAGAAACCCTCAGCGACATTATCAGCTATACTTATGAGCCAGAGCACATCTTGTCAGGCCATTCAGATGCCTTTCATGGTAAGTTCTTAAGCCATGAGCGTGAGCAGGTGTTGGAAGAAGGCACTAGCTGACACACAGTAGAAAGACATGCTGTCATGATGTGTTGTCATTTAGCTATCCATGACGTCCAGTGCAGTAACCGATGACAGGGTACAGATACCCAACAGTCATAGCCTTAGGAGAGTATTTATTACAAAAAATAATTATTATAATTATCATTATGCTTGCAATTATGTGATAATTTGAAGGATTATTTGGGGGGTGTGAGGGGTGTAGATGGACAAAGTATATAAAGGCCTTATTCAGTGTAAGCTTTCATAAATTATAATTATTTGAAACAAAACCGGGCAGCACAGAAGCTTAACTGGTAGAGCTGCTGCCTCTCAGCAAGCAGTTTACCCTGGTTCAAATCCCGGTCCGGGGGCCTTTCTGGGTGGAGTTTGAATGTTCTCTCCGTGCATGCGTGGATTTTCTCCGGGTACTCCGGTTTCTTCCCACAGACCAAAACCATGCATGTTAGGCTGATTGGTAACTCTAAATTGTCCCTAGGTGTGAGTGAGAGAGTGAATGGTTGTTTGTCTCGTTTGTCTCTATGTGGCCCTGTGATGGACTTGCGACCTGTCCCTGGTGTGCCCCGCCTCTCGCACAATGATTGCTGGATATAGTCACCAGCAACCCCTGCAACCCAAAAATGGAAGAAGCGGGTAAAGATTATGGATGGATGGATGGATGGATGGATGGATGAAACAAAATCATCCATATAGGATAACTTGTTATTATTTGTCTATTTAATGTTCTTGAGTTGGTAAGTTATTTCAGGGAGTGAAATGTCTGATTTTTTACTACTGAGTGTACCAGTGGAATAATTAATTTCACTGGTCCTCCTTACCTACATTCAGTGTCTTCCAACTTTAATTTCTACAAAACAGTTAATGCAAACGTATAGGATAGGCCACATAATTTAGTTGGTTATTTATTCATTCTGTTTGTTCCTGAGATTTTTTTATAATTCTGCATTCACTTTTATGAACTTTTACTTTTATGTGTCGGTTTGGCACATTTTGTTAATGACTAGGAATGCTCTTAGTATTGGAGATTCACACAATATGTTGGTTGAAACTGGGGAAATACAATACTTTTTGTCATGGATATTATTACTGTCATGGCCAGCAAAAGAACAACAAATATATGTATGTGTCCTTCATATAAGTCATTTACTTTAAAATCAAGTTTGGTTAGTTATTTAGATTATTGGACATACATCTTAGAGCTCGTAATCATTTAACATAATGTAAGTGTGAGCTGCACAGCTGTGTAGTGATTAGCAATGTAACCACAGAGCAACGTTTGTGGCTTGAATCTTGACCTCAGTGTCTGAAGTTTACATGAGTGGGTTTGCTCCTGGACATTTCAGCTTCCTCCAACAATCCACTAAACACACAATGGCATGTGTGGATTCTAAACTTTAATCATACGTGACTGCATGTTAGGTTGTTTGTTTTATTTGTATTTGGGTTGTCCTGAGGATTATAGGCGACCAGTCCATGGAGTACATTAACCTTTTTCTTGTCTGCTGACAGCTGGGCTAGGCCTATGAGAAAGATGAAGTAACTATGTTTTAAGAACACTTCTGGAATGTGTCCTTTTTAAAAATCATGATTTAGATCCTTCCCATCTTACCTCATGTCTGCGCCTGTCTGGGCAATGACGATCAGGGATTTCACACATCCACAAAAGGCCAAAGTGGAAATTTATAATGGAATAACAATAGAAACTTATGTGCAACAATGTTAAAAATGATGATGTCACCAGCTCTTACTTTTCAAGGCCTTCTAAAGACGGTCTCTGTGATGTCTGAGTGGCGTGAGAAGAATGTGAAGCAGCATGTGGCTCATATACCGCATGAAGTAATGAGAATTTGATTTTGACATGAGTGCAGATATTCACACGTTAGATGGTACAAATAAAGAAGAAGCTTGTGGCTGGCACTCCTCTTTTCCTCTTCTTGTCTGAATCTGTTCAGATTGAGTTCACCACAAACCCACTTATCTTAATAAACTCTGTTTATTTACTCTTTATTTAACAGTGTGGCCATTGTTTTTTTCAAGAGTCTTGAATTTCCCATCATTTAGGATTTCCCATCATTTACATCTTCCAACTTATAATATTGTACATTTATTTTATGTTGGTATCCCTTTCACGTTGTTGCTGACACAATTGACTGTTGACTGTGGTTTTAAGCTAATACTGAGTCTGGCTCCCTTACGAGTTCTCCCTTCTAGCCTCTCCTCACTAATTCTGATTTTCATTATTTTCCCTCACTCATCTAGTCACTAATATATGGAATTATATATAAAATATGGATTATAACATTGCTGTCTGTGCCTAATTGTGTGTGTGTGTGTGTGTGTGTGTGTGTGGGGGGGGGGGGGGGGGGGTTGAGTTGAGTTTATGTGGTAGTAGCTCAGAGTCATAAACTTACCATAACATTTTTCAATATTGCATGAGATTGAGCATACTGCTATTTTAAAAATCTGACCCAAACAGCTACAACTCTTTCATTTCTTAACATGATGATCTCAGCTTAAAGCTCTGGCTTTTATTTCTTCTTTATTCAGTAACTCTTTGTAGACCAAAGCAGATCATCTACCTCCACCTCACACTATCCTATCCTCCTTGGCCACACCACCCTCTCCTCCGCTACATCCATGAACTTTCTCTTTTTTTCTTCCTTCTCTGGCTACTTTATATCCAATATGCTTCATCCAATATACTTTACTATCCTTTATCAACATCCTTACAACATATTTGAAAAATGTGCATTCCACCGACAGAAGACAAAGTGTAACTGATCCTTGTTCACTAACTGTTTGAGCTATGGTTGTATCAGACAACTGAAAACATCATGACCTTTACAAATTTGCTCTGAGGTATGCAACCCCACTCCTCTCCCACACTAGAAACTGGAATTACCAGCACTATTTTAGTATTTTATGGGAGTTTTTTTTTTTTTTTTTTTTTTGTATCCATAAGCTCTCACTTACCAACATTTGTTCAATTTGTAACCTCCTTATTCCAGTAATGACCATGCTTTGAGGGCTCTAGTCCATAGCTCTTCAATGGAATTTCAGCACCTGGCTGATGTCATGCTCTGGGTGTCAAGGTCAGCCATGACAACATGTCTAAACTGGACTGAAGGTTTACTACAGGTGGCCTATTGGCCATTACCAATGTTGCCATGCTCTAACATGAGAACATTGTTGGTCGCAAATGGAGAAAAAAAAAATCTGATATCAATATTTACCTTAATTATTTTGATACGAACTTCCACAGATACCTTCCTGTGATTGGATTTGTTGCCGGTACAAATTCCCTGATGGTCACATGAAAATGTGGGTGGGAAAGGTGAAGCATCCACACCCTTGAGCAAGACAACCCCCCACCCCACCTCCTATCTGCTTCCACAGGCCCTTAGATGGCAACCCCTGCTACACAGATGTAGGCTGTGGTAGCTCAGTTGTCTGTGGTTGTGGCAGGAAGGGCAACCGGCATAAAACAATTGCCAAATATTTGTGCTTTGCTCACAGTTTTGCTATGACAGCAACTGATGAAGGAGGCAGCTGAAATATAATAAATAAATAAGCCATACTTGTCTCTTCCCTGATGTTTTTACTTTTTCTTCTCACACTCCTGACTTTATTCACAAAGTTGTCAAGATTAGCTATTCCCAGATCTTGACAGATTTGGTTTTAACCCTAAACATACATAAATATACTGTACTCAAAAACTGTGCAAACCATTTAATGATAAAATACATTATTGTTTTCCTTGACGAGATTTTGTTTTCGTCTGCAGTTTGATCTCTTGTTCCAGTGCTATTGTCAGTCTGCCTCTTGAGCTTCCTCATCACTCCTCTACACCCCCCCCCCCCCCCCCACACGTCTTGGCTGTCCATTCTTCCATTCTGTTTCCCATTACTCCTCTGTGCCTCTGAGGAAAAATTATTTTCTACTTCATCATTTCTCTTTTTCACTGTGTTTATTCATCTGAAAGAGAGTTCTTGTGAATTATTTCATGATTCTGTTTTCTCTCTTTCTGTGAATGATGACTTTTTGTCTCTTCTAACTATTAAGTTCTGAGCCCTGCTGGTGGGACCAGATTATTGTTAATCATTCATGTTATTACATTAAGTTTTGATGCAACTTATCTGAGCTACAACATTGAATGGTTTTCTCTGCAGTGTTTACTCTGATTTAAAACAGTATGAATTGCTTAGATTTCTTTAGTTTGCATTAACTGATTACAGGAAAAGCACCAATTGGTTCCTTCTCATCACTTTAAGATGCTTCTAAAAGCTTCTTACTGACAGAATGTTGTCTTCTCCAGATTGCTACAGCTCAATCACTTAAGGGTGGAACACTTCTAAAAATAAAAAAAAAATAAAAAAACTTTTGCTTTGACAGTGTTATATGCATGATTACAGTTGATTTTATTAATTTGTTTGTGCTTAAACTTGCAATTAGATTTTTTTTTTTTTTTTGTTATTTACATTTTTTGGAAAAACATTTTATTGATCATTTTACAATTTTGTCTTCCATTTAATTTTCTGGCTTTCTTGACTGTCCTTGTGGATTGTTTATCCACATACTGCCTTCTGAGGTGTTTTTGCAGACAAAACTTTATGTACTTCTACAGACTTTAAACTTTTTTTTTAATGCTTCTTCTATACACACCAAAACATGAGATTCCCTTAGGAAATGAGAAATAATGTAGCAAAGTCCTGACAAATGGATTATTCATCTGTTGATCTATCTACTGTATGCTAGATTTTTTTTTGGCAGCCTTCTTCAAGGAATAAAGCTGAAAGGTCTTCAGAAACTGTAATAAAATGTTTATCAGGACCACTCAAAAATACTAAGCTCTGTCTCTCTTGTAATTAATTATAGTGGGGTTGAGAGTTTAGAACAGAATATTTTTACAGTGACACGGAAGAATTTCAATTCTTACTTCCAATCATT